AGACAAAAACAAAAAAACACCTTAATCATGATGTATAAGAATTATATACATGAATAAATATGGCATTTAAAAATCTTACCTTAACAGGAGACAGCCAAAACCACTTGTGTTTTGGATTACTAATTTTGAGAAGTTGTATCACCCTCACAAATACCCGTGTCTCATGGTATGGCAGAACACAAGCAATGAGACTATCAGGATTGTAAAGATGGATGTGGAACCTAAGAAAAATATGAAACAATTAAGTCAACACAAAATACAAAATTCACAGGCACTTGCTTTTGTTCTTTCTTTTGACACAATCTCACTGTGTAGTCCTGTGTGGCATTAACCTAGCTATGCAGACCAGACCAGGATGGCCTTGCATCAGAGAAACTCACAGGAGATCCACCTGTCTGTGCTTCCCAAGAGTGCATCAGCATGCCTGGCAGGCACATGTTTCCAAAAGGGCCAGATCCTGTCTCAATGAAGTACAACCAGATAAACAGCATGTAGATGATAAACCCTCTACTTAGTATTTAAGTTTGATTCAACATAGTTCAATCAATTCTGAAGCAATAACATTTTGAATGTTATTCGCTTTCAACTTCAATGAAACTGTGTGACCATCATCAAACCACAGAAAACTAACTGGCTAACTAGACAACTGGTGGAGCTTATCTGTGTTCCTAGCCTTCTACAGCTTTCCTAACCACCATATTTTAATAATAATAATAATAAAAAAAAATAATAATAATAACAATTTTGGTTGTTTTTTTCAAGACAGAGTTACTCTGTGTAGCCCTGGCTGTCCTGGAACTTGCTCTGTAGCCCAGGCTGGTATTGAACTTAAGAGATCTGCCCGTCTCTGCCTCCCAAGTGCTGGGACTAAACCACTACACCCCATGAAAACCAAAAGATTAATAAAATCACATTGCCGGGCGGTGGTGGCGCACGCCTTTAATCCCAGCACTCAGGGCCAAAGGCAGACAGTTCGAGGCCAGCCTAGTCTACAAAGTGAGTTCTAGGATGGCCAGGTCTGTTAATCCCAGCATTAGGGAGGCAGAGGCAGGTGGATCTCTGTGAGTTCGAGGCCAGCCTGGTCTACAAGAGCTAGTTAAAGGACAGCTTCCAGTTTTCCTGTTTTGAAAAGAAATAAAATCATATTAATTTCTTCAGATACCAAAAAAAAGGATGACAGACACATACAAATTGTATATGAACTTGAAAAAGCTAGTTCCCAGCCCCTCTATGATAAGAATGTTAAGAAGCATTTATTATTTCTGTCAGGTTCACGGAACCCTTCCCAATCTACATAATCCAGCTTTCTTCTAGTGCTTTTCCTGATTCTTTCCACCTACTGAGACCACTCCTACTGTCTAAGCTGTTCCACGCTTTTACATGTACTAAAAAAAAAAAGGTTGTATGTAGCGCCCACATGAGCCTGTGCACCACCTGCATATACTTGCTCACAAAGGTCAGAGGGCACTGGATCCCATGGAACTGGAGTTACAGGTAGTTGTTTTACCTTTGGCACAGTGGCTGCACCTTAACCTACTGCTATTCAGCCAGCAAGTGTGGCTCTGGAAGCTACTCTAGCAGCGAGCCACATGGCCACATGGCCACTAAGGCAGTGGGCTGGAGGGAACCCTGTTCCCACAGGCACCTGCTGTCACTGCCTCTAAAGGTAGCTTTAACTAAATCTCTATCATTTGATTTATAAAAGGCTGGAGTAAAAACCTGCTAGTTTGGAGAGGCTGGGTCGCAACTAGCTATCCTTCCCTCCTTGCTAGCACCTCTGAAAGAGTCGTTTTCACTTCATCAAACCAGAAAAACCTATGATACTCTAAGTCCCTCTCTACTTCCTGTGTGTGTCTCTCTCCCAGGTGCCCTCTGAGGCTGTGATTACTTTCTGATCCAAAGTTAATTTTATTTAATTAATGTAAATGCAAACGTGGGGTTCACAGTGTGATTGTACATCCCAACAGTAAGTGGCCTCTAAGTGCTGAGAACCCCACCTAATCCCTCTTTGAAAAGAGGAAGCAGGTTTCACCACTCCGTCATTTCTTTAGCTCCTAGATACTTTTAATAGTGCTAGACCTTGCCTTCTACTAATTTTATACAGCCTTTAATATTAACCAAGACACTACTTGCATGAAACTTTCTCAACAAATCCTGGCATAGCTACCTCTCTAAATCTTGTGTAAACTTTTATTAAGACATACATTTAAAGACAGTCACCAAGGACAACCTACAGATGTTTTTTGTTGTTGTTATTGGTTTTTCGGAGTTTGTTTTGTATTTTTGAGTCAGGGTTTCTCTGTGTAACAGCTCTAGCTATCATGGAACTTACTTTGTAGACCAGGCTGGCCTTGAACTCACTGAGATCCTCCTGCCTCTAGATTAAACGCATGTCCTACCACCGCCCAGCATCCTACAGATGTTTTTATCACACTTAACAAAGTTTGCTGAATAAAAGTTACATGAAGAGGTCAAAAGTTTGGTTCCTAGTATCCACAGGGCTTAGTACAGGGCCTGTTATGTACATGTTTAATACATGTCACTAATACTACTTGATTTGGGTTGATATTTTCAAGGATAATCTTAACCTCTAGTGTGGTATGAAATAAATTTAATAGTTTTGACCTTGTGAATGAATCTGCAATGGCAAAGTACATTGTTCCTTAGAATTAATAAAAGTTAAGTCTGGTCTGATAGCACACACCTATTACCACAGTACTGAGGTAGACGCAAGAGTTCAAAGCCTTAATCTTAGAACTTGGGAGGCAAAAGCAGGCAAATTCATGATTTTTGAAATTAGCCCGATTTACAGTTCTAGGCAAGTCAGGGCTACAAAGAAACATCCTGAAAAAAGAAAAGTTAGAGAAAAAACTAAAAATCAGCTTAAGCTGTATAATGAGACCCTATCCCCAAAACAAAACTAGACACTAATAAATAAAAGACCCAGGAGACTGATATTGGGGTTCAAGCTTCAATCTGGATATCAGAAGAGTAAAGCAGTTAGCCACTAGCTTCTTACCTCTACCTCAGGCTGAATGTGCTAATTCTTTCTTTAGGAGTTTTCACCAAGCCTCAGACTGTAAATTCTCCTCAGCATGGCTGGAGATAGCTTGCTTCTGTCTTACATACCTCCCTAATGTTGGTATTAAAGGTGTGAGCTATAATTCTCTTTTAGACTGATTCACTCTTGTGTAGATCTGGGTAACCTTGGACTAACAGAAATCTGTCTATCTCTTAATCCTGAGTCCAAGGATTAAAGGTGACTGAATCCTCAGTCAAGCTTTAATAAATCATAAATAACTACACAAGAGTGATGACATATACCTTGAATCCCAGCACTGGGGAGGAAGGGACAGATGTCTGCGAGTTTGAGATCAACCAGAGATACACAGTGAGACCCAGTCTCAAAAACAAACACATACCACAAAACCAAAAACCTAAACACTAAATAAGACATTTCACTCAAGATCAGTATGTTTAATATAAGAGTATGTTCACTTCACATTCTAGACATCATATTAATCTTCTAAGTCAGTTTCAGCTAACAACACAGCCTTAACAAATATTGCAACTATTTAAGTTTGTAACGGATTAACATGGTTAGCTACCTGTGAATCAACCATTCCAGACACTTCTGGGCTGGCTTAAGCAGGAAGTAAGGAGACAGGTGAATGAGGAACAATGAAATGTTTTCATCCAGTTGTTTGTTCACTGCTTTGGTCTGAACGCTGCGCTCCAAGGTTTTTGCTAGCTGGCTGAACAATGGTGCTTCAAACTGTTCAAAGGCGGGGTCAATTCCAAGAAGCTCCTCCAGGCCAGTGCATCCTAGAAGAAGAGTCACTTAGGACTTCCTTGTGAGCAAACTCAACAGATGTTCTACAGCTTTCCTTACCCCTAAGTCCTAGAACCGTTACAATGTGCAGTGCACTCTCAAACGTTGGTTCTAGTTTTTATGCATAAGATAAATCTGATCTCACTCACTATGAGTAAAGAAAGTACTTCACGTCAAGAACTCCAGCCCGACTCCTCTTTTTAATAACTATTATAAATACACTACGTTCTGGAAGACTCCTCCCACACCTCATTCATCGCCTCAGTTCTCCTTTTCTTCCTTTTTACATATTAGTTGCTTTGTGAGATTTTAGATACCACTACTTATAAATACATTCAAGCATCTAGCATGATTGCTTTTTTCCCATCCTTAACGAGACAAATCAAGTTAGAATCTGTTCAGGAAGCGAACCACGCACAGAAAAAGTCCCCAATACCATTGCTCCCGGAACTTTGCTAAGTGAAAGGGAGCTCACCGATGGCAAAGGCGGTGTCCCTGTCGATGGTGGCCGCTTCCTTAGGGTCAAACAACAGAGAGGCAACTTCATGTCTAGTTAGGAGGCTGGGATCAGTTTGAGGGAGGGCGAGTCGTTGGAGTTGCTGGGCTAAGGACGTCATCTTGCAAAGGAGAGGATGTCTCAAAACACGGGCTAAGAACAAACATCGTGGAAAGTTTTTTTTCGAAACTTAAAGTGACTTAACTTGGCAGCACAGACAACACCGCACTCAGCACTTTCTAAGACACAGAAACCCGCCGCCCAGGCACCCCAGAACCCCCGAAGCTCAATCACCACGGTAACAGCATTAAACTACATCTCGGCAGTCATGTTTCCGCAGGCGGGGACCACGGCTGCAGAGCCCACCCTGGCTACCCGTCCCAGGCTACGGCCGCTCCTGGCCAGAACGTACTCCTCCTCACCCTAAACTCGGAATATCGGCAGGAATCGACAACCAACAACTCTTCAGAGGAGCTCCCACATGGTGCCGGCACGATCCCGGAACTCTATAGCTCTCCTCACAGGAACTTCCGGTTTCGTACTACGGCAAGAGAAGACGGACATGTTTGTAGGAAATGCGATACGATAGCCACGCCTCCCCGACACAAAGTCAGCCTCGTGTGGGTTATTTAATCCCCCACCTACTTCCCCCTCCACCCGCCTGATCCTCGAAGCCCTTCCCTCGTCCCGCGCACCTCTTTGAAGCTCCGCCTTCCATCCTCTCCTCTCTTCAAGACCCCACCTTTATCCCACGCCCCTCGTTGTGTATTTTACTAAGCCACGCCCACAATCCCTACCCTCCCCCCCTTAGTGGCCTTTCCCCAAAACCTCACTCTTGAGCCACGCCCCTCTCGGAGCTCGTCCCCCGCCCTTGGTCTTAGAGCTTGCAGCTCGGAATTCCTGCTGTCACGCCCGGTCTTGCTGTGTGCCCCTAGGCTAAGGTCTGGGATTCAGTATCTGAACCGCCTTTTGGAGTTTTTTTGGGCAAGTAGCCGGGATGGTTCATTCACAAGATGCTTATCCAGCCAGCCAGGAGCTGAGGCGCGGAAAGCTGCCTTGCCGGAGTACAGATCTCTGCACCACGCCTCCTACTCCTCCTCTGTAGGAACCTCCTCAAATTCTTCACCTGAGTTTGTCACATGCTACACGACGCAGGGACAAACCTGGGATGAGCAGCTGACACCAATGCAGTCTGGTTGTCTGGTTGACTTGTAAGTACTGAACACTCGCCACGCTCAGCCAGTGACAACAACTTTATCACTTTTACTTTGTCTGCATTTCTAGGGGGTGGTATTTTTCTTGTTCCTTTTTATTACTATTTGAAATAATGACTTTTTTTGGCGAGGGAGGGAGGCTCGAATCAGGGTTTCTCTGTGTAACAGTCCTGACTGTCCTGTAACTCGCTCTGTAGACCAGGCTGGCCACAAACTCACAGAGCTCAGCCAAAACCCGGGAAAGTGGCTGCCTCTGCCAGGGTGGAAGAAGACAGCAGCAAACTGAACAGAAGCAGGGTTTATTTTTTTATTATTATTTTAATTTTAAATAGCTTGTTTTACATGTCAAGCCCAGTTCCCTCTCCCTCCCCTCCTCCCGCACTCCCTCCCACCATCCCCCCCCCCATCCTCCCACCCTATTGCCAATTCCTTCCACATAAGGAATATCTAGAGTCTGTCATTTCATTCAGGGTAGGGTCCAGGCACTTCCCTAAGAGTCCAGGCAGAGAGAGCATCCCTCTTTGTGTTATGGACACACGATGTCTATTAGTATTCAAGGGATAAACACTGATCCACTGCTCAGGGCCCCATAGGTTGTCCAGGCCTCCTCATTGACTCTCACATTTAGGGGGTCTGGATCAGTCCCATGCTGGCCTCGCAGCTGTCGCTCTGGGGTCCAAGAGCTCTCCCCTGTTCGGATCAGCTGTCTCTGCTGTTTTTGCCAGCCCATTCTTTGTCAATTTGCTCATCACAGAAGCAGGGTTTATATAGGGCTTCTTAGGGACAAAGTTTCCAGAGAGTCAGATTTCTAGGGTCAGATTTTCAGTCCCTGAGCTCAGGTTGGCTAGATCTCATGCTAAAGGGTTGGTTGGTTTTCTGCTCAAGGATTGGTTCGTTTTCCCTGCTCAGAGATTGGTTGGTTTTCTGCTTAGGTGCAGATTTGGCTCTGGCTTCAGGGCCAAAGTGTGTTTCTTTTGGCGCTGCTCAGGGTGTGTTTCTTTGGCTGGTCTCTTTCCCCTACAGTTTGCATAGTGAGTTTGACCCCACTAGAGAAACTAGAAAACTAATTCTTCATTTGTGAGTATCAATTCAATGGAAGATAGCTTCTGGCTGGGGGGAGGGGTCTTGTGTCCTTCCTCTCTCAGTACTAGGAGCCCATCTGGCCCAGACCTGTGCCTCCATTCCGTCTGGCTCTTACTCTTTTCACCTCCTTCCTGCAGGGTTCCCTGAGGGAAGGGGTTAGATAGAGACATTCCATTTAGTAGTGAGTCTTGGAGATCTCTCACTCTCTACACATTGTCCAGCTATGGGTCTCTGTATTGGAAGTTTCTCTGATGATGGCTGAGCAAGAACACTGAACTATGAGTATAACAGAATGTCTTTAGGAGTCATTTTATTGATCTGTCTATCTCTATTTATGTGTGCATATATACTACTTACTATATATCTATACAATATTTATATAATGTAATTGTAATACATATATATGTATGTATTAGCACAGTTGTAGTTGATTTTCCCCTAGTTACCTATCTAGTCCCAGGTTCTTGGCCGCCTGAGCAGTGTCAGGCATGGGATCCATCTCGTGGACTGCCCCCTAAATCCAACCAGACGTTGGGTGGTTGCTTCCACATCTTGCAGACAGGTCACCATTGTAGATTGAAGGGTTTGTAGTTGGGTTGATGTTTAACTTTCTCCTTTGGTACTGTGCAGAGTACCTTCCAGTACCATGAACACTAGTCTGTAGTGGTGAAGGCCCTATGTAGGCACCATAGAGCCTTGTTCAATGAGTTGTGTAGATGTTGTCTTCAGCAATAGCACATTACTGCCAGTTTGTGGAGAGCAACCAATAGCCTTGGTACTAGCTTGGGTTGTTTGGGGGTTCCCGTGGGGCTCCTTTGACCAATGACTTGATTAGATGTAACTTATTCCTGGGACTGGAGACTTCATTTGGTAATGAGAGATGTCCAGATGGGACTTCATTACTCCCATTATTTGATGATTCCATTTAAATTACCTTCATATATGTATTTTAGGAAACTTCTACTGTATTAGGTTTCCATATAACCATTGAAATGGGCTTTAGTTTTAGTGTCCCTCCCTGTATTTCCTACCTCACCCCAGTCTTCCCTCCCTCTCCCTTTTTTATCCTCCTGTTTGAATTCTACCCCACCCCATCCATCCATAGCTATCTATTCTGTTTCCCCTTCATAGGGTAATCCAACCCTTCTTTGTAGTCCCTTACTCCATACCTAACCTCTATTGTTATATGGATAGTAGCCTGCATACTGAAAATTTAGTAGCTAACATCCACATATAAGTGAATATATACCATTTTTGTCTTTGAGGGCCTGGGTCACTTCACTCAGGATGATTTTTTTCTAATCCCACACATTTACCTGAGAATTTCATGGGGGCCATTTTTATTCAACCCACCACAAGTTGTATAGTTGGATTTTGAGTTAGATCTATTCCCAGCTTTCTGGAGAGCAGTCACACTGATTTCTGTAGCGACTGTACAAGTTCGCATCCCACCAGCAATGCATGAATGCCCCCCTTATTCCACGTCCTTACCAACATGAACTGTCATTTGTTTTGTTGATCTGGGTCTTTCTGACTGATGTAAGATAAAATCTTGGTTTGCATTTCCTTGGTGGCTAAGGATGTTGAACATGTCTTTAAGTGCTTCTGAGCCATTTATGTTTCCACTTCTGAGAATTCTCTCTTAGATCTGTATTCCATTTTTTGTTTGTTTGTTTTTGTTGTTTTTTGGAGACAGAGTTTCTCTGTGTAGCTTGGCTGTCCTGGAACTCACTCTATAGACCAGGCTGGCCTCGAACTCACAGAGATCCGTCTGCCTCTGCCTCTTGTGTGCTGGGATTAAAGGCGTGTGCCACCACCGCCCAGCTTCTGGTGGGATTTTTAGGCTCATGTATATCCTCATATTGTCTGCAAATAAAGATACTTTGACATCTTCCCTTCCTATTTGTATCCCCTTGATCTCCTCCAGTTATCTTATTGCTCTAGCTAAGACTTCAAGTTCTGTGTTGAATAGGCATAGAGAGAGTGAACAACCTTGTCTTGTTCCTGATTTTGTGGAATTGCCTTGAATTTCTCTCCATTTAAGTTGATATTGGCTATGAGCTTGCTGTAAACTGCCTTTATTTTATTGGTTTTACATATATATATATGTATGTATGTATATAAAACCATCCCTACATCCTTGGGGTGAACCTACTTGATCATGGTGTTCTTGCATGAATTTGCCTTCCTGATTCCCTGGCATGGCCAGCCAGTTTTCAGAGAGATGGGTCTTGGATCAGTCAAAGGGATACTAGGGTGAGGAAGGAAGACTATAGGAAAAGATCTTCACAGTACCTGGGAATCATAGTTTTCTTTTAAACCATACCTAGGTGAGGCTCCAGGTTTGATCCCCCAGCACTAACCCCCCTCTATTGCACGTGGAAATCAGGATGCTTAATTAGTAAGATGAATTGGACTTATTAGTAGAAAATAACTTACACAGGAAATAAATGACAGCTGCGGGCTCCCACTCCAAACACGCAGACTCTGCTACCGGATGCTCTCTGTGACCTGAAGAAGAGGCTTCCTAGCCCCAGTTCAGTCCTTTTAACCAGTCATGTCCGCACCTGTGGCCATACCCATTTGTGTGTGTGTGTATATGTGTGTGTGTGTGTGTGTGAATATCTCACTACAATTCCCCTTTTAGTCTTAAGAAGAAGGTTTAGTCTTGATACAAAACTAGATACAATGATAGCAAATATCAAGTATGCTCTAGGAGAAGGAAAGGTAAAACCTACTGTCAGTGAAGCATCATAGAGAGATTAGCATGAACTACATATCCAGTTCTAGGATAAAGGCATGATTACTATGAAGTTGTCCTAAACTGGAAAGTTTAAGTCTCGTACTTAATATTTCTATCTAGGAAGAGAGAACAATAATTGTGACAGTTTAATCTTCAATCTCATCAAAGACCTGAGAAGGGAGATAACAATACTTGGGTAGGCAGGAAGTGCAACCAAGCAACTTCCAACAGATGCAAGTGAAGACAGAAACAGCATGTTACCTGGACAGTCATCCAAAGTGTCAGCAGTGTAGGGGCAACCAGCTTTGACTGGCTTTAGCTAAGGCCTAGTGTAACTGACTGACCAACACAGATAGATGCAGGGAGGTTGAAAGACTGTCTTACCCTGACTTGGCAGGGTTCAGCAGTCTCTAAGTATATCTTCTGCAAGCACAATAGGACAGCAAGTCAAAGTTAACTGTTGAGGTGGAGGCAGTTCTTTGTCCAAGAGGCCAGTAGTGGAGGGGAGAATGAACTCCAGAAGGAGTGTCATCGGTGCCCAACATACTCTTGGGAATAGCTCAATGCTGTTAGGAGCAATAGTGTCTCATGTCAACGGAGTACTAATATTAAAACATTTAAATGCCATATTCTGCAGATCTTTGAAGTGTTTGAAGATCAAATATCTATGTCTGACTAACCTCATAGGTATTATGAGACATGGGTAACTATCATCTGTAATCCTGAGAAACATAGTTGCTCAATGGATAAAACTTCCAAAATAATTTAGCAAAGACAATGACTTCAAAAATGTAACTATATACATATATATAATTCTCAATAACAGAACTGAAATGTCTTAACTAGAGGTAGAACTGTAAAGTGCAATATGATAAAATATCCTGAGTTTTATCAATATACAAAATGTATATTCATAAAGTTAGTTTTATATTTGTGTGCAAGACATTGTAAACAGAAAGAAGACCCTATACAGTCAACATACAAGAATCTAATAATTTAAGTTTTCTATAGCTAATAGTTGCTAAAATTAGTTCACTCCCGTTTGGGTGTGGTCACAGGTACATAGAACATACAGGGGATAAAAGAGCAAGGGGGAGGAGATGCTTCCTCTTTGCGTTCTGGTTGCAGCCCAGAGAGCAGCCTGCGGACCTTTGGTTCTCAGCTTTCTTGG